CAGGAGCGGGAGCAAGCAATAATTAGCCAGACGTCATCCACACTGGCGAACCAAGTGTCACTTTCAGCGGTCTCTTCGGGTCATACAGACTCGATATATCCTGTCGATACCCAAACTGTGACCCAAATCAAGCCGCGTTGGTTATAATATTGGACAACGGCCGTACGGTGAAAAATCAAACCTAGTGTGCCAGTGCATTTAAAGCTCCCCCGCACGACCCACCAGTCCATCTCCAAACTCATCCCCCAGTCGGTCGCAATGGTCGCTATTACTACCGCACGCCCTCAGGTACACCTTGTCGAAGACGCTGGCGAACTGACTCTCCTGCACGGTGATGTCCCTGTGCCTGTAAACCATACCCACACTCGGGTCTTAATCATTGGAGGTGGCGTCACCGGACTTACGGCAAGTGTTTTTGCCTTCCATAGCCAAACTCGGGACTTAATGCAGTATCATCTACAGACAGCCTGGGCTCTGTTAGATGCTGGCTATTCGGTCACCGTTGTTTCGGAGCGCTGGGCTTCCACGGAAGAACGAATCACTTCCCAAATCGCGGGCGCGCTGTATGTACCCTGCGTATGCATCTTCAACGTCATTAACACTGATAGATCATCTAGATGGGAATGGCCGCCTGCGGTATGTGGCAGACATACCGACCTCGTATCTCTTGCCCTATCAAAACGTTGGTGTATGACCTCTTACCGCGTCTTTGAGCGCCTGCAGAGACTATTGCCAGCGGAGTCTCACGGCGTGCGCATGCGGGTCGCCAACTTTTTCTTTGATCAGCCTATTGAGCATAATCCGGAAGAGTTTGAGAAAATGTGCGAGATCGATGCGGAGAAGGTTAGTGATACCACAAAGCCTACGCGTCCGAGCCGGACTGACGGTGCGTAATTAGATCCGCGGTTTTGAGCGTAATGCTTCCTTGGTACTTCGGCATAATATCAATCGGTCCGCCGGGGTCGTTGACGCGTACAAACACGTCTCGCCCGTCGTGGACACCGACGCGTATATGACGTGGTTGCGCGCAGTCGTAGCCTGCAAAGGCTGTCGGTTTGAAACTCGTCGAATCTGCGGAGACCTCCTTGATCTCGAGGACGAGCTACTAGACAGCTACACCGCGCAAGTGATAGTCAACTGCACGGGTCTTGGAGCCTGGGATCTTGCCTCCGACAAGACCGTGTACCCTCTCCGAGGCGCGCTAATTCGCGTCGTCAACGATGGGTCCAAGTTTCCGCTTGTCAAGGAAGCACTTGTTGTCGCCCATGACCATGCAAAGCGCGAGGAGGACGGCGGTATTGTCTTCATTGTACCTCGCAATGATCGTACATTGATTCTCGGCGGTGAGAAAATTCGTATGATTGATTGGTATCACGACGCTTAATTTTCGCAGGTATCGCACAAGCAAACGAGACCACGCTCGATCTTACGTTGGACAGTCCGGAGATTCGTCGTATGCGCGAACGGTGCAATCGTTTTGTACCCGGCCTATCGAACGCAGAGTTGGACCCTGTTGCGCCGCTTGTCCAGGGGCTACGGCCCTGCCGTGGCCAAAACGTCCGCGTTGAGCGCGAGTTGAGAAGGAAATACGATGGGTCGTTCAGCGCTATCATTCATTCGTATGGGCAGGGCGGGTCCGGCTTCACCCTTTCCTTCGGCTGTGCGGGAGATGTCCTACAGCTGGTGCGAGAGGTCGAAGCACGTGTACCACCGACGCCCATGAAGGCTCATATGGCGCAAGATCAATAATGAACGAGCAGTACGCGCTTCTTGATCCGTAATTTATGATCCAATTGCTGCGGGTAATTCTCATCGATTCCTGTATGTGGCTATAGGTCGTAATCAACCCACTGTTCAATTCCAAGCTTCTTGCTGTTACATCGAGGCAAAAATGCAGATTGATCCGATTGTACTCGTCCTTTCGGGAAGCGAAGAAGTCCGCCCAGGCCTTTGATGTAGGCATACCCTTTGCTACCCTACCCTAGGTTTGTCAATGAAACCAGGGCCTGCCCAGGCCATAAGAGTGCTATCAGCCCATAGATCACATCAGAGATGGTTATACAGCTCGAGTACGTGTATCCAATGTAGAGATCCTTACGAGACGCTGTTCAGGGTATGTTCTAGGTACTGTGTACTACATTCTTTGATTCATACCAACACAATCCTTCCATTTTGGACCCTCAAAGGCACCTCAGGCCGACCAAGCAATATCCATGCTTTCTCCAGGCAGTACGCCATAGCGTTGAGCCAGAGATAGAACGCCATAGGTATCACACCCATGAAAAAGTTTCCTAAAAAGCCCCGACGAACGATGGTATCCCAAAGCTCTGTCTTGATGATCGCGGGAGCCGCCATTGAACGGTATGGACCTATAAGGCGGTAGAACGGCGTGAAAGCGGCGCCAAAACTAACGAATGAAGTCAGCGACCGGACAGCATTGATAAACGTTTTAGACGTTTTAGACTCACCAGTAGCAAATAAGAACGTGAAGACCGTAATGCCAATATAACTCCCAAAGGCCCGGTGCTGCGCCGATGTCCTTCGCGAGCGTACTCATATACGTTGAATGATCAACGCCGTACTTGATTCTAGCTGTCTCCTTGACTAGCAAGTGGTAATGCGGAGGCGGAAGCGGCTTTCTAACTTCTCCCTTGATCAACGAGATCCAGAAGAATGCCTGCATTTCTGCAATGGGCGGGATGGCTCCTAATTCATACTGTTAGTTTCGCCGTCACGGACTACAAGACCTCTGTATTTACCGACACCGGGCCTGACAAAACCAATGAAACCTAAGCACTCTTCGCCGGACTTGGCGATATTGCGGATATCAGCATCAGCGGCTGTGGGATATCCAGAAGTGGGGTCCAGGAAGCTGAAATCTTGTTTGTAGCCGGTTGCAAGAATAACTGTATCCGGTCGTACATCTCGTGCGAGCATGCGTTTCGCATCTTTGCGGTCCGAGACAGGGAAGACAGCACGGCCGCTTGGGAGGAAGTAAGACGGGAAGGGTGCAAGGTCGACAGTAAAAGACGTTTGTGGTGGCATGTCCTCAGGAGGGTCAATGTATCTTGAAATGTAGTCCATGAGAGCGTAACGCTTGCGATATGGCCGGTTGATATACGGCATCGCCTTATGGGACTGGGCACGGTGATAGTATATTCAAGCGGCTGGCAGGTGAGCCTAGAATAGCAGCTCACCTTGTTCAAGAATACGTACGCCCTTCCAAGACGGTCTTGTTCCAGCTCACCGACCTATAAAAAGGTCATTGAACGTAGGGTAAAAGGTAGCTATAAGATTCATACCCATTGATTGCATCCGGCTTGTGTACCTACATGAAGACGTTGAACAATTAGCTCTCAGAACATAAAAGCGTCGTGAACATTACCGGTCAAAAGCCATAATACGCGTTTAATGACAAAATCTGATATGCTATCAAGCATACAGGAATCAGTCAGTGAAGCGATCGACCAAGTCCATACTTACAACCACCGAATATGAGATGCAGCCACCCATGGATGCTATAAAACAACGATTATCAGGATGATCTGGCTGAGAGTTGGTGAAGTACTCACGACGTAAGCCGTTTCGGCTAAGTTAGTAATGAGCGAGTCTATAGGTATAGGGTTGTTTGACTCAAACTTGAAACCGAATAGTTCGAAGTCATTCTGAAAGACCGTCAAATCCGAACCGTATCGAAGGGAAGACGTTTAGGATGACCGACCAGAGCTTTCGGAAACGAAAGAAAACTTATGGGGAGGAGCAAGTTCAGTGAACTCATTCGATACAACGTAGGCCTGCTGCTTACCCGGCTCGTGAACACAAGACTACCTCCTTTGCACCAGCCTTGGCAGACTCGTACGCAAGGTCCATGCCCGTTTCACCGGTACCCAGAATCATAATCTTCCGCCCGGCTAGCTGATCCCGGCTCTTGTAATCTGATGAATGGAAGACAGCACGCTCGAATTGTTTGCTGCCATCCTCTCTGGGAGGCTGTCTGAGTACATGGTCGATTTCAGGGATATTGGGAATGGCTGGAACGACATGTAGCCCTGTGCACACGGCTATATATTCGGCCTCAATAGCAGTGGGAGCTGGGTATACGTCAGACGGTCTCGGACGTGACGGATGCGCGACCCACTTACTATCCTCCCAGTCACCGGAGGTCGCGTCCCTCTTGACATAGTAAACGATATGGCCGCCCCTGGGATTACGGGTGACTCGGACAACCTTGTGATTTAGACGTAGTCGAGAATCAATTTGAAAATGATGCATGTAGTCGCGTAAGTAATCGACATATTCCTGAACAAAGAGTCATAAACATCATTATCACCATGTCTTCTGTAGCTGTTGTGAACCCTTACCTCCAACGTTAAATGGTCCGCATGCGATAAAGGAAGCCGAAAATCCGAGAACGAGGTAAGCTGCTTCGACGACACTAACGTGGCATTCTAGGTATGACGCAGAAGTTTGGACACAATCCAGGAAATTCAGGCACGCCGATACGATGGGTTATTGGTAGTCACCTCATAAGAACGATACCGGAAGGTACCGCCAATGTCATCCTCTTGCTCTAGGATTACAGGGTCAAAGGGAAAGTTCGAGTCGGCGGCTTCCAGCAGTGATTTGCAAGTGACAAGACCCGCAGGTCCCGCCCCGATAATGACGACTTTCATGCGCACTGGGGACTAAGTGAGCGGAATGGTCGCGGCGTTCACAAGTTGCGAGAAGTCTGAACGTAATACAACAGTCCGCGCGGCTATACATTAGTCTTGGTGGCGTGCTATCCGGAAATCGTGTCGACTTACTGACTGCCAAGCTCGCTAACAGGCCAGAAACCCTTCTATTGACCTGGGGCGAACCGATGCACAACCTATCCAAGTGAGAGGGGGAACGAAACACGTCTCGGGCCTCGGCTGTCGAACTACCGGCGGAGCAAATGAGTATTATATATATTTATAAATAGCGCTGTTGTACAAGCCACCGTGGTCTAGTGGTTAACATCCCTGGTAGTATATCGGTTAGTACACGCGCCTGTCATCTATTAAGGTTTGATCGCGCGAAAGCGGGGTTCGACTCCCCGCCAGGGAGGATTTTTTGTCTACTAATAGTAAAGATTTTGGTCTCTTTTTTCCTCGCTGGGCCTTGCAAAATCATGCAAGTCTTCGAGTCTCCGTAAGGGAGGCATGAGCCAGATGGACAGGCTGTCCAGGTGAGAGTGGGAACGAAACGCGTCCGAGTCTCGGAGTTCATTAGCTGTGAGCAGATGGTGGGATCTGTATTAGACTTTGACTCAAATATACAAGCCGCTATGGTTTAGCGGTTAACATCCCTGATCGTATATCAGTTAGTACACGCGCCTGTCACGCGCGAGAGTAGGGTTCGACTCCCTATCAGGGAGATTTTTGCTGAAAGAACGTCGCTAAGGCTTTGCGAGTGCTCAGAAAGGCGCCAAGCTGCGTCGCATTTTGGCACGCAGTACGTTACAACGAGTGAATGCAATAGATTATCAACTGGCTATTATACATGCAATGAAACAAGGCTAGTCGTCGCCAGGAACGACCGAGAGCTGATGCGCGGGTGGATGCTCGTCTAAAAACTCCATGAGATGGTCCTTGACGTGGACGCCGGCACCGAGGGCGTTGATGATTGCGAGAAGGACGAGTCGGCCGCGTTGGTGACCGTCCTGAAGGTGCTCGATGGCCGTCTGACCATTGCGTGTCGGTACGTTCTCGGACAATGACGCGAAAACTTTCATAAAAGCGCGGGACCGCTGCGTGGCGAGGTGGTCGACCGTCCATACGGAATCGATGAATACGGGCGAGCCAAACTGATAGCGGTAAGTAACAGCTACAGCGAAGAACAGCAGCGACGTACAAAGTTGTAGAGCAGAAAGAGGCGGTTACGGGCGGTCACGGTGGTTTCATTCTTGCGCTTCCAGTCCTTGAAGTCTTGAGCGTATTCGTTGCGGATGGTGCTGGCAGTGTCTTTACGGGAGAGACCGGCAAAAACATCTTGTAGGTGGGGCTGCTGTGCAAAGGTTTGCTGGTAAAACCAAGTCTTTTGCCTCTTGCTGCCTTGGCCGCGAGCCGAGTTCCAGTCAATGGCGAACTTGAGGGTTTCGATGTGCTTCATGAGCTGTACGAGCCACTGGTTGGCGCCGTGCGACACCGTCATTTGCGCAAGTGCCTGTAGCTAATATCAGAGAATCGTTTGCGATACAGTATGTACCACATGCCTGATGGCGTCGTACGAGACGCTGATCCGTGTCTTCGAGCTGGTCAAGCTCCTGAGAATGATCGCGGTACTCGTCAGAGCCAGCGAGCTGAACTGCTTGGCTCGAAAGAAGCTCGTCCTGTAGCAATTAGGTGGGTACGATAAATATATCGCCAAAACACGCGACGTACCCATGTTCGTTGAGCGGCCATCTGATATCCGCGGCAGAGTATCATGAAGGCGGCATCCTCGACCTTGGCGTGCGTGCCAACTCGCACTGGGTCCATGAGTGCCGGGACGTCCTCAGGGAGAATCCGGTCCATTGCGAATGCGGTGCAGATGAACGCAAGCCTCTGCGGTTCGGTCAGTGTATGTGATATGTACTAGCACATGTACTTACCTTGGGGACGGCGTAATTCATGGCACTTCTGCCTTGCAGAAGAGGCCGCCCGCCGGCGCGCGACGACTGGGAGGCCGTCTCAAGCTCGTCTGAGGCTGGATATTTGCGTTGGTCCTCATCCTGATGCTCTTCTTCATCGGACTGGTCTTCGCCCGCATCAGCATGTTCTTGTCGACGGACCAATCGGGGTCCTCCGTCGTCCACGGCAGGCTGAGAGAACAACGCTGCGTCTTCGTCGTTCATGGTATGTTGGAGTCGCTTAAATGCGTGTATGATACGCATCCGCTTGCTACGCCTGCCGTCTGAAGCCGTCGGTGAGAGTGGTCGCAGGTGTTTCACACTGTGGTTCACCAGGTCGAGGGCAAAGTCGATCCAGCCTTCGTCGAGGGAGACAGCGGTATCGGCCTGTGCGACAAGAGCATCCATGGTGGGGGCCAGTGTGAGAGAAGAGGAGTAGATCCAACATGTTATATTGTAAAGACACGACGTCGCAGTACCAAGGCGGGGAGTCGAGCAAGGTTGGAATAAGCTGAGCGTTGAGCGCGAGCGCTCAGTGATATGTCGCGCCCGAGGGCGCTAAGCGCGAGATCAACTCTGTGGTTACCGCCACGTCGGACGCGATTGGGTTGCAGGTAAGCAAACGTCGCCTTTGCGAATTGCATGAATAACAGACTAGTATGCAAAGGCACGCGTAAGGGGATTTTTTGCCCGGTGAATTGCTGGACAACGAGACGCGGTCGCACGCGCCGCGGGATATACTCGACTCCCCGCCAGACTCCCCTCTGAGTTGTAGCAACCTCGCCGAGCGCATGATAATCCAGTAATTGACATTCATTGACTTTGTGACATGACTATGGGTACAGGATTCCAAACTTGAAAACACAGGTGATTCATGAATAGGCACACTACAGAATATCTGCATCCATCTGGGCATCTTCACCAGGAGCAGGTTGAGCTGCACCTGTCGGGCTGAGCAAGGGTACGTTGGTGGCAGCCTCTTCCTTGGTTTCGTTGACTGGTGGTTTGATACTTGTCAGCATGGGATCCATCAGCAGCAAGCCAAGAACGGGCGGCAGCTTGCCTTCGGAAGCATCCTCTATATCATAGGGTCCAGGGTAAAAGCTAGAAAAGGGCTGATTCAAGGGCACATCCAGATGAGGCTGAAGGACAGGAAAGCCGGTGTTGCTCCAAGGCGTGACCGGCGATCCACCGACGGATGAGTCTCCGGAGCTCAAGTGGGATAGGTCGGGCAGAGGGTTGGCGGCAAGCGTCGACGGCGCAAATGCTGGACCCAGAGAGGTGGGCAAAAACCTGTCAAACGTAGACGCGGAAGCTGAGAATGTTTCGACAGCGGTCGTCTGGGACAGTCCAAACGGCAACTCCGTGTGCGCATATAGGTACTTGTTTTGGGCTTCCTCGACTTTGAGGTTCGCGAGACTACCAGACACGCTGTCGTCAGCAGCGCGTGCCACGAGGACGCTGGCTTACGCTTTGGACAATTCCATACGAGCCATGAATTTCATGAGCTCGATGAGGCGGTCTGCGGCAGTGACGACTGCCTGTTCTTCGCTAGAGAGACGAGGTTTCTTGGTGGAACACTCGGCGTTGGGCATAGCGAAGGACGGAGTCGGGATGACGCAGCTCGCAGGCTTCGAGGCAAGATGGAAGTCGAGAACAAGAGGTGACAGTGAGTGAGCGAGGCCGGAAGTGTTGTTTTGATGTCGTCTCCCTTGTTTTTCAATCCCCGACAGGTGCTCAACGGACAAGTCAGGTCGGACTCGACTTGCGGTACGTCGGATATGTTTTACATTGTCGGCACACATCTCACCCTGGCATCAGCAGGGCAAACGAGCAGACGAGCCCTGCAAGGACGCAAGCACATCGAGGACGCCCCGCGACGACGAGCCCGATGATGCACAAGGTTGTATGGGATCAGCGGTCCGTGTGATGTTCCTTTGAAGCTCATTGGATTTTGCAAGTGCTGATGTACAGTACGGAGCGTGATAGATGATGTCCGACGGCTAATGTATCGTCGACACGCGTGTATTAAAGTACGATACACCCTGGGCTATCATCAAGCCTCCCCGAACCCACTCGCTTTCACAAAATCCGCACAAGACCGCATTTTCGACTTTACCCCGGCATGCAGCTGATGCGCCTCTTGGGCGGCGTTGGATGCATGGGATGGGCCATTGCCTGGGCCTGTCGAGCCCTCTGGGCTGGCCTACCATATCTCGTTTGTATCAGTATCTTATCTGTCCTCGCCTATCTTGAGCCCGCCCTCGTTGTGTTCATCGCGACGGTGGCGTGGCACCTATCATTCGTGGGTCTCTGTGTACAGGGTGAGTCACCTGGACCCATACTGTCGTACGCGGACTCATGCGGCGTAGGTCTATTGGCGTCGGCACGGCGCAGCGCGCGGCTCGATGCCGCCGAGCTGCGAGCGCGAAAGCGTCGCGTCACTACCGCAGAGCGTCGCCACCGCTACCGCGTGTTCCGACGAGCATGCCGTGCGTCTGGACGGACTGAACGGTGGAAGGATGTGCGCCGCCCGTCGGTGAGGATCACGGTGGAGGGCACCCAAGGCGGGCCTACGGTCCTCGGTGAGTGCGACGTCCGTCTCCGTCAACGACGATTCACCTCTCGGCAGCTGTCCCTGCCGAGTGCGACGTCCAAGGCGTGCTCGGACGACTGCGCATGCGGGGCTGTCTGCCGTTTCGACTGCAGTCAGATTATGAACTGGCGGTCAAAGGGCAGGACGGCCCGCTGAGCACCGCCGGCAGCCTGTGGCAGCTGGGGATCAGACCGGGCGCGGTGCTAGAGCTACGGCTGCCCTGTCTCGGGCACCTCAGTAAGCAAGACGTGTTGTGGCGACGGCCGCCACTCTGAATGGAACTGCACAGGTCCGGCCAAGGCAAACGAGCTGGCGAACAGTGCCGACGAGCTCCCACCAGGAGCCATGTTGAGTACGTCCATGCATTGTCTGTGTGAACCGCCGGCTCACTTCCACGGTAGACGTGACTGGAACCACCGAGTCGGAGATCGACGACATCTTGGACTACTATGGTGCGTACGGATGCCCGTCATGGGCGAGCCGCGACGGTAGCTGATGCTTGGTTCAAGACAAGAGTTTAAAGACAGAAGCATCTCCGTCTGCATTCACCGTCTTTGTGCGGGGTGCAGGCGCTCGGTCGCTGTCGTTGGGTGAGTCGCAGCGGCGCGCGTCGGTCGTCGTGAGCTCACATGCTTGACAGTGGTGACGGCGAACACGACGGTCGAGGAGATCATGGGCGCGCTGAGACGCCGGCGCTGGGTGCCCCGGATACCGTGCCGCCTGGTGTACCTATCGGCATCGCGGGATGTATGCGGTGCCGCGCTGTGGGACAAGGACAGGCTGGGCGGCTTGGGCATCGGCCCCGACTGCCAGCTGTACCTTCGTGTGCGGGCGAGGGGCGGCGCGCCGGAGCATATGCCCGTCGGCCATCCTCTGGAAGGCGTGTCCACGGTGCGCGGTGCGCAAGCCGAAGCCAACTACGCGCGGTCAGCTGCCGCTTGCGCCAGCTTGGAGGTGCCGAGTCTCGCGAATGTGCGCCAGCGGGAATCGTACCAGACCAGTGCGTCGTTCCGACGCGGGGCGGACGGGACGCCGTACCTGCAGGAGGTGCTGCAGACAGCGGATGCGGTGGAGAGTGGGCCCTCGGGCAGCGCGGGTGCGTTCCTTGTTCACGCTGCGCAGAGACGGGATGCTGACGACCGGGCAGGTCCGTCGAGCGGCGTGCGGCGTG